ACCTACGCACGTACCCTGTGTTCCATGCCTCCAAGCTGGCACCTTTCGCGGCCACTGACCAGTTTCCTTAAAGAAGATCAATGCTGCCCCCAACCATGGACGGTGAGGTGGACATCGATCTGATTGTGGAGCATCGAATGATGCCTGCTCCTCGACCATCAGGCAGAGGGCGCCCTCCTAAACCGAGAATGCAGTATCATGTGAGCTCCAGACATCACCTCGATCCCAAGGAAGATCGCTGGTTCACACGAGAGGAACTCATGAGAACAGCACCTCAAGTGATTGCAGGCTATGAAAGAGAACGAAAAGGGAAGATGCCTGCAAAATAAGAGACTTCTCAGAGGACTAACGAAGTAGAGGAGGAGGGAATGCGAGGATCAGGGTCCTCGGTAGGCCCAAGGGGCCCTGTTTGCAGCATTGCCCGCCCTAAGTGAAGGCGGAGGTGTCCGCCCTAAGTGAAGGCGGGCCTAACATTTCACAAGAGGCCTACGACTGTCATTTTCATATTTGGGGGTACAGGCAGCTGCGACGCGCCAGTTGGTTGAGAGAAACACAGGCCGAGCAACAAAGACATTTCCACGCCCCTCCGGGCCTTTCCAAAGAATGCAGGCCCTGGGCGTGATTCACAGCCTCATACAGAGACAGTTGGGCGCCCAACCGAACGAGGCCCAGCAGCCCACTAGCTGTTGTACACAGGCAGCCTCCTGGGGCCTTCCGGAAGCTTTTGGGCCCAGGCCAGGGCAGCCAGGCTGCTCGAGCAGACCGGCTCTTTCCATAAAGGAAAGAGCTCTCGCCAGGCAGCCTCATTCGGTCACTTGCTGGCTGGCGGCAGCGCTGCTGGAGCGATTGCTCGCGGGCCGGCTGCCGGCATTGGAGCAAGACGCTGCGCACGTGCGGTCGTGTGTGGGAGCAGGGTGCTGATGAGGGAAGCGCCATAGCCAGCCTCCATAGTGGGCTCGGCTTGGATACACAGTGAGGCGCAGGGGTGGTCTTCGGGTGCAAGAGAGGACAAGTGTGGGTGTTAAGTCAAGAAAGGGCGAAGGATGATGATGATGATGATGTGAGGGCACTTACCTTGTATTGGCGATGGTCAGCCTATGGGCGACATCTTCAAGTACTTCGGGTTGCCGCTGATGTCAACAGTTGCATTGTCTATTATTAGGCTGATCGTAGCTGTGTAGGAGTAGGCTGGGCGCCGAGTGCCAAGTAGGAGTGAGAAGGGACTGGACTCTTGTGTTGCTGAAGGAGAGAGAAAGCTCTCCATGACATTGGTTTTCAGTACTGCGAACCTCCATTGGTGTATTATTGGTGCAATGCAGCTCTCTGGACACAGTGTGACTATCTGGCTTTTAATGTGATGGTGTAATCTGGATTTGTCATCTCGCTTTGCTTATTTTCCTTGCATCTGTAAATATGGGAAAACATGGGCCCAGTACTAACTCGAATTTCCTACAGCTACCCTAACTGCGAATAGCAGACCCGGGCTACCCCTAAGGGCCTATGCTGATAGACGGTCCTATAGCCTATAGCCGGGTAGGGAGAGGCCCAAGGGGCCGAAACAGAAACGGTACCGGTCGGTCAGTCAGTCCGGTCTAGGTCGAGTCTAGGCCAGGGTAGAGTATACATAGGTTGAGAACATCGGTCCAGGGCTTTTGGCAGTTGACACTTCGTGGTGGAAGTTCCTGCGCACGCTGCATCAGGTTGTGGTGACTGATTCATGAGCGGGAGACCGCGGGCATAGCCAGACCTTCGGAGGACTGTGGTCAACGCTGTCTGCTCTGCCTCTCTGAGAGTCAAAGCGGTCTGGGCTAGTAGAGGTCTGATGCGTCGGAGCACGTGGTGCACTGCTGACCCTCCTCAGGAGTAGGGTCCCAGTGGCGAGGCAGCCATAGCTGCATCTTCTCGGAGATTATCATCGTCTGAACTTCATCTTCATCAGAGACTGTTGGCGCTGGACTTCTTCTTCATCATCTGAGTGGCGATTGGCTCTGGGAGCCTGTTTCATACTGGCGCAGGCCACTGAGTTGGATGTCAGGGTGGCGCTGGGTGTTACCTGGGGTTCTGGTGCTATTTTTAGCTGTTCAGAGGGTGTGGGTTGAGGCGCTACCCTTCTGAGGGTAGCGCAACAGGGTTCTGAGGTTATTCAGTTGAATGATGCTCTGAGTTTAAGAAACAGTTTTAATTGCAATCAGACTCACTTTCTTCTTTGCTTCGCATGCATACAAACAGATGGTGATTCACACTGGCGCATAGCGCCCAACTCAAAGCTCAGAGATATGGAAACCCAAGAACACAGTTCGGATGCAAACTCGCTTCAACAGGCTATGGTGCACCAGCACCTATACATCCCAACTCTCGTCACTGTGTCCAACACCACTGTTCGCTCACACTTCAACTCTGGATCACCCTGGATATCCCACACGCAACCCACTGTACACTCGCACACTCGCACATGCCACTCTCTCTCCTATCAGTTATGGCGGCTATGGCCACTGCCTACCCTATCGCTATGACTAAGCTTCCTTCTCGCCCACTTCGTCTTCGGGCCTACTGCAGACCACCTCGCACAAGTCGCTGTAGCAATGGCTTACGCAGGAATGAATGAATGGCTGGGCGCTGCCTCTTGATTTATACTTCTGTAACTCGTTGGTCTGCCTCTTTCCATCGGCCCATGGTGCACACAGTCCCTCATGGTACTTGCTGGACTGGACTGGGACTGATTGGACCAGTACCGCTGACTGTACGAGTTTGCGCTGCCAACTCGATGTAGTCACACTGCCGGCGTAACGCAGTTGGGCTCACCACTTGTCCACTTGCCTCTGACTAAAACGTGAGACCGATTCGAAAGGCCACTTCCGGAACTTCCGGAAGTTTGTGGACTTGGCCTTTTGGGTACTGTAGCAGCTATGACCTTGACCTTTCAGGACTGTAGCAGCTACGACCTTGACCTTTCAGAATACCTACAGCTACGACCTCTACAGAGCTGTGACCCCTACTCGACAGACCTACAGATCGAATCCCTACATCTACACAGTCCTATGACAGACAAACAACAACTAACGAAACACAGGTCATGGGTTCAACACTCAGGGGTCAACTCGATACTGTACATGCGTAAGGTAAGGCCTGGGGATCGAACCCTGGGATCTGCATCTGCCTCTGCAAAAACGAAAACCGTTTCATAATACTGTGTCTGAGTTGTCATCTCGTCAATGATCTCTCGGTTGTCTTCTATGAATGATCGTTGGGACCTTGGTGGAAAGAATACACTGTGTTGTGTGTTCTGCCACTTCGTCTTTTGAGTCTTCCGCTGCGTTTCTTCTGTGGGCCGGTGTGACACTCCACTACCTCTCCCCTTCCTTTTGCGCATGTATGGGCGTGTACGGGAGTTTCTGTGAGTGAGCGCTGACAAAATTTCAACGGACAATCGTGTTCATAACATCGCGCTCACATTTGTTGCCTTGGCTGTCCGATTTTCATCAACTCCCGCCCAAACTTTTTCCCGAAAAAGCCCAGCTCGGCTGCTTTATCACGACAAAATTCCTTAGTCCCCTTCCGAGCGAGTCCTCTGGGTGACCGGTAATCCTAAGTTCCCTTTTGAGGGTTAGCAGTGGAATCCCTACTAACTCCTCACAATTCGTACAGTCTCTGATTTGGTGCAGCGCACCCATAACTGTAGCGTGTTTCTGTGTCACATCCGTATAAGAGTCGAAGTCTTGAGCAACCCTGTAGGTCAGTCTCCCGTCATTGCAGACGTGCTCCTCGTTTTTTGCCTTTTATCTGCAGCTGATTGAGACTGGATTGTTTTCCAGTTCCAACTCACAGCCCAAGAAACCCCACTTTCCTTCCCACTTGTCTGTCCTCTCGAGTTGTAAGTTACTGTCATACATTCTATCTATTTTCTTCATTGTTCTCTCTGCTCTCTGTCTTCCTTTTCCTTTTGATCCTTCCCAAACAAAATCTGTCAAGTCATCCATTGATCTAATCCCTTTGATCAGATCTATCCTTTCCTAGTGAGATCAGAAAGTCGTGTTCATTGAATGCACACAGTATACACGCTAAAGGTGGGCTTGAGCTCTTCCCCATCGGGACTCCCATTATCTGTTTAATCAGTCTCACATTTGCCGTCAGCAGCGTGTTTTCCAGTTCAACTCCACAAAGCTCCTAATCGTACTCATTTTGACAGACACCCATCCTTTGGTTTGCCCTTTCTCTTTTATTGACACTCCTTTCCCTTGCGTTTTCAGTGCTACCCTTTTCTTCCCTTTCTTTATGTACCAGCTCAGCATCCACTCAACTGCTCGGACGATCAATGCATGGGGCAGCTTACTGAACATCTCTTTGATGTCATAGGCTGCTCCATGAACCTTCCCTTCTCCTTTCCCTTTTGCCCATGCCTCAACCTTTCTCAGTTTTTCTTTCAGCTCCTTAACAGCTTTAAGATTGAAGTGACATGACTCTGGCATCATGCCAAGCAGTCCATTTAGTACTCGAGCAATCCTCCTGCTTGCAGTCTTCGAGGTCTCTGTGCAAGTTGGCGTTATAGGCCTGAAGGTCGTCACATCTTTGTTCTTTGGTAGCACATAGCTTTTTCCCCAGTTCCTTCCTTCATCCTCCCTTGTTTATAGCATGGTTCCACCTCTTTCATTCCCACTAACTCTGGTATTTCAGCGTTTTGCAGACAGTTATTAATCTCCCTCATCAGTCCTTTCCTACCACTTCCTCCCTCCTTTCTTAACACATTCTTCGCTTTCCTTAAGATCGGGTGAATGTCTTCCCGGTCGCTTAGGCGTAGGCTTACATGACGCTGCACCCGAAGAGGTTTGGCATATACTCAGTAGCTTCCCGAACTGCAGTGAAATAACTTGGTTGTATAAAAACCACCTAGTAAGGTCTAAGGACACTGGCGCTGCACCCTATTGGGAGGAAACAAAATACCTTTGCCAGTCTCCACTTGCTCTTTGTCAGGTCCCTCCATCCAGCTGTCCCTTGTCCCATACCTGGCTTGACACTGAACTAGCTCCGCCAAAACAAACCAAACATGCGCAGGTGTGTGCATGCTCACACAGACAAACACACACGCACACACACACACCCACACCCACACCCACACCCACACCCACACCAACACACACCCACACACACACACGCACACACACACAAACACACACACACACACACACACACACAAGGGACAAAACTTGTTACAAGGGTACAATATTTCTTATCGCAAGTGGCTCACCATCTTGTTCACGTTTAGGTCTCCTATTCCAAACAGATAGATGGTTAATCAAACACCATACAAAACGTTCATTGAATGCTCACCGGCATTATTCTCTATTCGACCACTGAGGTTCTATGTTTTAGGGAAGAGTCCGGAAGACACCAATCAAATACCTGCTCACTTCGATTCTTCAACAGCCTGCAGGTTTTTGTGGTTGTCGGCAAAAGTGAAATCACACTTCTGATTATTCAACTTGTCATGTATGCAAACAGCGAAACAGCAACTGGCGACATGCGCCCACACAATACTCAAGATATCGTAACCAGATATGAGTTCTCTTCAACTGGCTATGGCGACTGGGCGCCCACACAACTCACWGTTCGCACTCTGGATCACCCTGGATGTCCCACACGCAACACTCAGTATCATACTTCACACACCACACATGCTAGGCTACAGCTATGGCAGCGCTAGCTGCCACTACCTATCGCTGCACTCTACTCCTCTGCCCACTTCGTCTTCGGGCACTCTGCAGACCTCCTCGCACAAGCTGCTAGGTAGCGCTTCCGCATGGCATCCGCAGGAATGAATGAATGAATGAACGCAGCCTCTTGATTTATACTTCTGTGCTGCATTGGTCTGCCTTGTGTCCCTGGCCCATGGTGCACACAGTTCCCCC